AATATACCTTTGACCATATACCCACTACCGTGTATATGCTCTTTTTATTGAGTTTTTATAGTGATTTTATAGTGTTTCTTTAAGTTTTTCTTAAGTTTTTTTTGAGTTTTTATCCTATTTTTATTGTATTTTCCCGGGTTTTTCTTCCTATTTTCTATATTTTATATCCTATATTCTGAGTTATTTTGAGTTTATACCCTTTGAGTTTATTTTCTTTGAGTTATATTTGAGTCTTCTTTGAGTTTTATTTGCGTTTTACCTTTTGTATACACATATCCTTACCCTCTTCACGTTAAGTTAAGTAGTATAGTTAGCAAGGCTAGCTTTCTATATTACAGTTTTTGGCGACGACGACAGGACCTGTAATTCTCTGTGTTATTGTGATAAATCCCTTCTATACAAAATTATTATGTTGAACTATTTGAGATACCTATTGATTTAAATATACGTAACGTAAAAAATGAATTATATACAATTGGAATAACAGTACCTTTAAGAAAATTTGATATTGAAATTGATACAATAACTGCTAGGATGATAAATGAATTAAAAGAAAAATACCTACATCCTGAGGGTATTTTCACACGATGGTTGGGTACATTAAATATGGTAAAGAAAAGTAATGAGAGATATTTCGTAGATACAAAACAAACTAAATTAGATGATGATAAAGAAGATGAAATAACTAAAGCAGTGTATAATCAACTAAGGCCCATATTAGAAAATAGCACATTAATGAGTCCTGAAGAAGTATTAAAGAAGTGGCACATAGCATATAGTTGGAGTTTCCCATATAGGTTTTTAGATGGTAATGAAAATATGTTGCGTCGAAAGGTGATATACCGCATGGGTGGTCACCAGTTTTTTTAAAGAAAATACGTCAGTATTTAGAAGGTGATATAGCTATTCCTAGTGTTAGCCACGTATTTTTAAAAGACAAAGTCCTAAAATTATCAAAAGTGGAAATAGAAGAAAAGATTAGAAGCATAATTGCAATGGATCCTTTGACTTACTTTAATGGCATGTTGGTGAATAGGTGTCAAAATAAAAATTTTGATCCTATGAATGGGTGTGCAATTGGAATGTCCAGTATACATGCCATTCCTCCACTTATCTTTGAACAACATAGATCTTATAAAGTATATTTACAAATGGATATTACATCTATGGACTTGACTATGAGTTATAATTATATACGAATATTAATGAAAATTCGTATGTTAGGTTATACAAATCATCCACAATGAGATAGGGTAGAATTAATAATGAAAACATATTATGATAATTTATATAATAGTTACTTATGGACATTATATGATGGTGAAGTAAAGATGAAACATAGAGGTCATTCTACTGGGCAGAGTACCATTAGTCCTGATAATACAATATATTGTTTAACTCTTTTTGTTGAAGCTTGGAAAGAATTAACTGGAATGCTAGCAGCAGATTTTTTTAAATATAATAAAATTACAGCTTATGGAGATGATAATGTCCTAAGTAGCAACTGTTTCAATGATAAGTGGAATGAAAATACATTATGTGACTATTTTGCCCAAAAAGGAATTAGTCTAAGATTGGAGAATAAATCAGAAGGTCTAGAAAGAGTAGAGTTCTTAAGTAAGATATATTCAGATAGTGAAAAACAATTAGAAGAAGTCCTTAAGTACGTACCTGACTATGCCTGCAAGGTGACTTATAAACATAATCGAGATAAGCTTTTAATGAAATTTGATGATATAAAAAAAAATCCAAAAAAAAATAAGACTTATTTGCTTGAGCGCATTGTTGGTTTAGCCAATAATTGTGCCCATTATCTGGATATCTATGAAATCTGTGTTAAATATTATAATGAATTAATAGAAGCATATTATAGTCATATAAAAGCAATAAGGAAATGATGTCCTATAAAATTGTATAAAGAAATAATGCGTCTACAATATGAATATAGATATAATGAATTGGTAACTCTAGATATGTCCCCATTTGAACAATTCATTCGTGATGCACGTGCTTTTGTCTATGAGGCTGACTTTAAATGTGAATTTGTGTTCTAGAATTATAAAAACATGTTAAAAGTACTTGACTTATCTTTACCTAAGGCGTCAGTAGATACATTATATTTCGATCCGGATAACCATCCTATTTCTGAAAATTTTTTAATAGAACAGTGGATATATGTTAATACTAATTGTCCAGAAAGTCTTGGCAAATATTTAATAATAGTTAAATAATCACCTTTTGCATCAATTTGTAGCCCTCAGAAATTCTTCCCGATTCGCCACAATTTTAATTGGGATATAAGCAGCTTAATTGAATTATCAAATCACATGCTAGGGATTTTGATAGCTTTCTTAGTAGTTAATTATTTAGAAAATTTGTTATTAAAATTCCCAATTATTAAAACATTTATAAAATTAAGTAAGTTACATACAAATTTTGGTTTTACGGGTTTTGCTAATCTTAATTTCCTATACTGGACTATGTTTGATAGATCTAGTTTGGAATTGAGTGCTCTAGTTCCAAGAGACCTAGCTGCAAATAAAAAAGCTATCATGTATTTTAATTTATGATAAATTATTTGGAGGGTTTGATATGCCCGATTATCCAATTCTACCCTTTTTAAAGCCAGTGATGACTAAGTTCGTTCAATTAATTAATTTATGCTGGCTAATAATGGCAGATTTTGATTTGAATGCCATTTATAAAATAAAGCCATTCTTCGATAATAAAAGTTTTTCCGGAACATGGGCACCTTTAGATCATTCGGATTCAGTAGAAAAAGTATTAGAAGAACTTAAGAAAGGAAAAATTCCTGTAGTTACAGCAAAAACAGGAGCCAGGAAAAGTACAGATTTTGTACAGAATATATCTGCCCATTTTAATTGCACTATGTTATCGATGCCTCGTGTATCTTTAGTAAAAAACCATGCTAGTTCTGCCCCAAAGTTATTCGCTAATACTTGCGATAACATGGATGAAAATAATTTAAATGTATGTATACATGGTTGGTTACAAGTCACTAATCATTCATTTAAAGACAAGGACTTTTTAATAATCATAGATGAGTTTCATGAGATGGATGAAGATAGTTTAATTTTATTAGAGAGATACAAAGATAATATTATTTTACTTAGTACAACACCAATTCCTATTCCAAATTCAACAACAATAACGTTATCGAAATCACGATCTCCTTATACAATCACTAAATTACTGTCACCTCCAAATATTCATTTAGAAAGTGCAATTTTCCATTATTTGAATGAATATCCTAAACTCAAAACATTGATAATTATACCATCATTAAGTTAATATATTAGAGTACATAATACTATAGCTAGTTCATTATCTAGAAAAATTCAGGTTGTAGATGCTAAAAATGATGAAATTAAAGATGACACTGAAATAATTATAGGTACATCTGTTTGGGATGCAGGTCGTACTTGGTCAGGTTGCCAGTTAGTCATTGATTCGGGTTTATCTATGGGGAAGTTAATGGTAAGTTTGTAACAAGAGAATCTAGCCATGCCATTGAAATTCAAAGAGCAGGTAAAACAGGTCGAACAAATGATGGCCTGTATGTTCGATTGAATAATAAATATAATGATACTCCTTTTGATCCTAGTATTTCATTTATATACAACTACCCCTATTTATATAAAACATTTTGGGAAAAAGAACTATATTATAAATCAACAGAGATTCCATTAAACCCAAAAATCCCGTCATGTTATAATGCTTTATTATCAAATCCAGATATAGGTATTTATTTAGAAATATTGTTTGGTTCTCAACAATCAGATGCAGACATGTTATATAGATTATTATTAGGTGGTCATTTTAATCAAAATACCTACCATTTTGCTAAAAGTCTTCCAACGACTCCACTTGAGGATATCTGGATAGCACTCAATAATTACAAAATTAATACAAGGCCCTTTCAACAAAATATGGTTAGATTAGATAGTGAATTACATATGTTCTATTACCATTTTTCAAAATCTAGTAGTTATGCTAGGTATGAATATACT